ATATATATATATATATATATATATATATGTGTGTGTGTGTGTGTGTGTGTGTGTGTGTGTGTGTGTGTGTGTGTGTGTGTGTTGCAGAACAGTTTTGACCATTTAGATTTCTTTTTGCAGATAGACAAAATATGCAAGGTCGCAAAGAAGCCTTTGGTTGTAACGTATACTGGACTTATTAAGGCCTGTCTAGACTCTGGAAGCATTGAGAACGGAGCATTTGTCTTTAACCAAATGCATAAATTTTGTTCACCAAATATTGTGACTTATAACATAATGCTTAAGTCATATTTAAATCATGGAATGTTTGAGGAAGCAAAGGATCTATTTCAGAAAATATTGGATGGCAGCCATCAAATTGCTAATAGAGGTGATCTGAGTCAGAAGGTTGTTCCTGATAAATTTACATTCAATACCATGATTGAGGCTTGTGCTCAAACACAGAAGTGGGATGATTTTGAGAGTGCTTATGGACAAATGTTAAATCACGGGTATCACTTTGACACAAGAAGACATTTGCGTATGGTGCTTGATGCTTTCAGGGCTGGAAAGGTATTTTTTTAGGGGCATTCAATTTATTTTTCTCTCTAACAATTATTTGGCTGTCTAATTTGGATCTTTGAAAGTTCTCTAGTAGTCTCAACTAAAATGTCACTCAGAATGTGATTATTTTATTAGCAAAGATCTCCATGTTCATAGGTACCAACATTAGTCTTCATGAAGCATTCATGAGTGCCAGTTGCTTCACAAGTTACCTTGTTTAGTTCTCATGATGGTATCAACTGCCATGACATTTACAACTAGGCCACAGTATGTGCCTAGCAGCCTGACAAAGAAGCTATATGAAGGCTGCATTTGGACCTGCTGCTCATCACCTGGTTTCACCCCGCTAATCCATTTTTCCATAGGACCTTTCCTCTTTGTTCGTTATTATGTGATTTGTTCCTCTCATCTGCAAAATCAGTTCTAAACTTTCGCTGACAACTATTCGTTGTCCAATTATCGACTTGAGCCTTTTCTATACCAAGTTTTTTGCTACTTCTAAAACTTGTTGGACATTATCAAATGCTTCAGAAATTTTTTTCTGTTATAATTCAGGTACAGGTACTGGAGTCAACATGGAAGCACTTGGTTCGTTTTGGTAGGGTGCCACCTCCTCCTATTATCAAGGAAAGGTTTTGCATAAAACTAATGGAAGATGACCCTGTAGCTGCTATCGCCTGCATAGACATCCATCAGGAGATTGACATTCTTGCGTTTTCCGAGAGGTCATGGTTAAAATTACTTAATGGCAATGCGCATCGCTTTAAGAGTGGCATTATGTTAAGATTGGCCATTGAATTGGATGCCTTCATAGCTCAAACTTCAGAGTCGCTCCCAGTGTATGAAAATCTGAGAAAAGCTTGCGAACAGTTTGTTGCCCATGCAAATATTATTCCAAGCTTGCCTGATCATCTGGAAGAGTCACATAACTCGTAATCAAAGCTTTCAAGGAAGATACGTAGCTATCGTCTTCTCTTTTCTTAGTGAATGTGATTCTTTGTGTTAGATCAGATCATCGATGATCAACAAGTGGAAATCGAGGAAAGAGCAGTGCTGTCATTATTTATTTGCTCGACAAATGTAAGTAATCTTGATAGCAGTGTGATTTTGATTATCAACCAACAGAACGGAAGATGTTTAGGTGAGTCTGTTCATTAATCATGAGTACAGTTTATTGTTAGCTCAACAACGTCTGCAGTCAGTATTTAACAATCGGCGCAGGAGTTCTGAAGATAATATCCTTTTAGAACGAGTTTCCGCTGCTTAATCAGGGTATATTCACCAAAGTAGCAAAGCAGTCTGGTGTGCAACTTGGGTAGTAAATGTGAATTTGCACAGCAGGACTGATCCAATAAGTGTTGTGATTTTGATGTAATGCTAATCTCAAGTTATAAGTTTCTCTTCGGAAGATAACACATTTATCTTCCCTATAAAGGCACCTAATATTCTTCTGCTGCCAGCCGAAAGATTGTGAAGGTTCAGCCTTACTCCATGAGATTTCTCAGAATCTACATGCACGAAAACATCAGTAATTTCAGATCAAAATTCCATCAGCTGTCTTGGCAGCTCCAATGATTTGATTGGGTTATGTTGCCTGCATGTTGTTTCCACAGACTGAAGTTCCAGAAAGTCCTCACAGGGAGTGATACTGAGTTCAGCATGAGATTGAGCTAATTGAGTCTCGACTTCATCTATCAAGTCCAATATCGGCTAAAATTCTCATGTGGATTTTGTATTACAAGTAAACTGTCATGTCATCTCATCTACACCGAATTGACCCACCACAACACCCATCCATTAAGTAAACGAATGAGGAGATGAGTTTGAAGGAATCCAAGGCGATGCATGCACACTATTGGCTCCGTCCCACGAGTCCTCGCCCACTGTTGTCGTGTGAGGAGGAGGCATCGTAGCAGCGGCGGTAAAGGTGACCGATACGGTGGTGCAATGATTCCGTGACCTGTGACGATGACGTGCACCAAATTCTTCCAGTTCCCACACTATATTATATCGTCAAGCACTGTCCTTCGGCGTCAGGAGTTGGTGTCTTCTCATTGTTCTCTATGATGAGTGGGGACGGAGACCGATCGGTCCCATTATTACTAGCTTGCTTGCTTGATTGTTCGGTTGACATTCACAGTGCTCGTATGGCCTTCGAATCGAGCACTAATGCTAACAAATCGAAATCGCCACCTCTTATTTTGTCGTGTTGATGAAAACAAAAGGTCTGTAGGTTGTCGTCTTACATCTCGTGCCTTGTCGTCTTTCGTTAAGCAATAAAATATTATAAATATTAATACGATAAATTTGTATTTTTTTTACTTTTTCTCGAAAACCATTGTTTATTTTTTTAAATTTAATTGTATTATTTTATTTAATACTTGAAATATCACAATCATATATTTTATTTCTTTTCTTTTTTATCGACGGATCGATAAATAGAATGAATCGATTCAGTTATAATATTTTTAATACTAATTAGAATATAATATAATATAAAAAATATTATGTTACGGTATCTTTCTATCGATCTCACTCAAAACACTATAAAATAATATAAAAATACCATAAACATAATATTTTTATAAAAAAAATATAAATATTATGTTATAATATTTTTTTGATATTATTCAAAACACTATAGTATGGTATAAAAATATTACAATTGGATTGGTTCACAAGTCCATAGGGGGAAAAAAAAAAGGAAAAAGGGTACTCCATATATTAGGTGTAAAAAGGGGATGTTGTTAGGGAATTCTAAAAATAATGAATATTTTTTAATAAAAACTAAAAAAGAAAGTTTTTTTAACAAAAAATCACCCTTATTAATATGAGAATTATAATATTAATCATCCATCCAAAAATTATTACTTGACATAGAATCTTCCTCCCATATCATAGGTGAACATAACATTCTATAAATTCTTTATGGAAAGTTCATGCTCTTCACAATCCTCATAAAGCTTGTAGCGAGGTTGAATCAGTGTCTCTTCTAGCAAATAATCAAAATCAAAATTTATCATGTATATAAATAAATTATGATTTACGTGAGTGAATTTGAACACATCAATCATTCTCGATGTCTCAACATATATTGATTGAATTTACTTTCATCGAACAAGTGCGTGAATTTTTATATTAAAATTTTTGTTAGTAAATATATATCATATAATTTCATGTGGTGTTTTAGGAGAGTCGATATAATCAAAACCAAATGACGAAATAAGAAATTGAATATGAGATGAACTGAAGTTGATGATGGGATGTAATAATATTAAGCGCTTTCAATTTGAAAGAATGGAATCTCATTAGATTGGGAAGACCGATGTGTTTTAGGTGGGCGAGAGACCCAACACCCCCCTATCATCTCCTCCCAATCAAATCCTAGATATAATTAGGAACTAAGCTATAGCTCTCGGAATGAGGGTTTCAATCATGTCTTTGGCTCTTTAATTCTTTGGTTTACATTTATGGTTGGCATATGGTACACGAGACTCCATGTGATCTTCTCTCTAGTTTATGTGATGTTTGACTTTATATGTGTCTCTTATTCTTTGCATGTGGATAAATAAAGTAGGAGGAAGCATAAAAAAGAAGAATCAAAATAAAAGTAGTTTCACTAATGGGACTACTAAATACTCTTTTGATGGTTTACAAGCCATTCACAATTTTGATGCTAATATATAATTGCTGATAGAATAGAACCATTCTATGCCAAAAGCTTCCATTCTCCTCATCCCCTCCTCCTCCATTAACAACACTCAACACCTACTCACCCTACTTAAAAGAGTGGATTAGATGGAACTTATTTTTGAAGACAACATGGACCTTCCTAGTAGTGGTGGAGCATAGCAATTGATGTCAATCAATGAACTCCTCCACTTAGGCAATCCCATTTGGTTCCATGCTATATTTACATTACTTGTCAAACTTTAATGGCCACTACAAATTGAAAGGAACTAGCAAGTGAAATTTATAATAATAATAATAATAATAATAAAACTTTGTTATTGAGTTTGAATCTTTGTGGATACCCAATTCTTTTATTGAGTTTGAATCTTGCATCTACACCTATGCTTCTTTTTTGATATTAATTAAACCTTACGTAACAAAATAAAAGAAGAAAGTATATTGCATCATCACTAAGCTTCCCAAGCTTATAAGTATATCGATATTTTTTTATAAGTTTATCGTGGTGTTAGAGCATGTCGTGAGTTCGAAATATAATATTTAATTTATCATCACGGTATATTAATAAAATTATTTATTATAGTTATTCTCACTTAATGATACTCATTTGAAACTTCTCTAATTAAAAAAATAGTAATTTTGAGTAAAATGTTTACATGGAGGTAAAATTTTACAACATAAGAGATATAAAACTTGTGAGATTGAGAAAACTAAAATTAAAATAAGATCCTGAAAATGACAACATATAAATTGGACTCACCACCTAATTTGTTCACTTTCCCAACAAGTTGCATATTGTTGTGATATAGTAGTGCCAAAGTAAAATGCCATGGCCATATCACTTTGTGCCACTCATATTCCCATGAATGTGACATTCATTGGTCCAAGCTTGAGATGCAATAGCTGCATTATTCTTCATAGTGATACAATCATATTAGAAATAATTGACATGTAGTCAGTCATGCGCTGGCCTCCTCATCAGGCAGTGTTGGTCTACATGTGCCTCATAAAGAACATATATCAAGACCACATAAATTAAAGTGCTTTTACCATAAGAAAACATATATCATATGTACTGAATTATATTATTTCACTAAGCCAAAAAGGAAAAAATATTATATTTGCTCAACTCTTATTGCTATGCTATAAGAATTCGTATAACAATATAAGATCGATAAGGAGCGATGAACGATAAGAAAGTGACGAGCGAGTGACGACGAGCGATAAAAAAGATTAAAAAATATAAAAATTATCAATAACAAGAAGGGATTCCTAATAAAAAAAATTAAAAGCAGAGAGAAATCAGCTTTTATCTTTACTGAATTTATTTAATTAAGTTGATCATATTTGGAATAAAATTTAAAGGAAGACTAGTGGACACAAAAGGGTTGGAAGGATTGGGAGCACCAAATGCCATATGTGAGCTGCTACATCTCCAACATGGACGCAAACTCCTCCACCACCTACCCGTGAGAAATAGTGGCATGGTTGGTGGTGTCCTCCGAAGACTCAAAAAGCCAGGATTAAGATTCCTGATTCTTGAGGGCTGTGCCTCGTCCGTCGAAGAAGAACATGGGACGAGGACGAGAGTGAGTGACATCTTGGAAATTTCTATTCTCTCCTCCATCCTTCTCTTCTCTGTGTCTGTGCCTCCCCCCGTCTCCTCTGAAAAGTCCACCAAGACGCGGTCCGAACTCCATATACTCTGCACGCATCTCGCCTTCTCCTCCCCCGTTCCTCTTATCCTGCCTCGCCAGGTACCTGACCCTCGCCAAGACCCGATTTTGATCGCCTCTTCTTGCTCTCCGATGGGTTTCTTCGTAGGGGTGGCTGCTGTTTTGGGTTCTCTCGATCGGGTTTTTGTGCTGTTTTGTTTGGCTTCGGATGTGGCCTCGATGTTTCTGTTCCGTCGTTGGTGGTCCGGTTTGGAAGGGTGTCAAGATTCCTAAAGGCGGCATTTTGATGTCGTTTTGAATTGGTCGACCTTTTTAGGGCGGCTGGATTCGTTTGACTTCGAGGTTCCGTGTTCTCTTGATCTATCCGCCTCCTCTCGGTTTGGGCCTTCTTGTAGGTAGGGTTCGGTTTGTGTTGCCAATCCGTGGTCTCTCTTCTCCCTAGTTTGCTAAATTACGGTGCGTCTTGGTTCAGTCTACATGAAAGTTCGAATCTTTTATCGGCTCTGTGATGAAAGATGAGATTTTTCTGTTTTGTTTGAAGGAATAGCGTGGGTTTGTTCGATCCTTGAATTCTTAGGGTTTTGATTTCCTAGTCCTTGCCGTTTCATTTTCTTGTGAATGGTTCGACTTTTCGTTTTCTTTTAAGAATTCTTGTGACAGAGACTTTAATTGACATATTTTGGTTGACTGTTTAGGAATTTGAACAGTAAGAAGAATCTTGCCGATCTTCTTCGCTAAGGTGAACTTTTTACTTGCTTATTCAACTATAAAATTTTCTGTGCTACAGATCTCTTGATCTGGCTGGCAATCGGAGGTTCGGTTCATTGGAGAGGTGAAGATTGTTTATACAAATTTCGCAATTTGATCCTTGTGGTTTAATATGAAGGATCTTCCTCACATGCTACCCAGCAACAGAAGTAGAAGTCAGCCCAGGGCTGTTAGACCTTGGCCCCTTTCAGGTTCATATTACTTCTCTTTGGAGACTAAGATCATCTTCTTCTCTAGTTAGTTAACTGTTCTCTTTTTTTTTGTAATTTTAATTATATTTTTGGTTCTCTTGAATATGATTTTTCTGATTTATGTAGTAACTACTTCCTTTTACGATGGTAATTTTCATATTTTTATTTGTTTATTTCTTGGACGTTGATTGTCTTTTGAAGAGACTTATGCCCTTTGTGAAATTTGTCAAGGTGTTTTGTAATTTTGTTTATTTTAATCTGATCTGTTTCAGGATTTTGTCTGCTCAAGTCTTTCTCTTTACTGTATTCAATTTGTTGTTTCTATTACTTTTTTGATTTAGAGATCCCCTCATAGATCCGATGCTTAATTTATCTTTTTTGCAGGAATGGACTACTCAGATTCAAGACGTAAACCTCATATTCTTGCAAAACTTCTTATGGTGGTCATTCTTACAGCCTTCTGCGTACTAATTTTAAAGCAGTCCCCGAGTTTTAGCGGTACTAGTGTGGTACGTTTTTTACGCCATTTGACATGCTTAGTTATTTTTATAACAAAATTCAGCAACTTTGGGATTAGAATTGTTTCATGTATGCTGAATTTGGCTCTGCCTTACACTTTTCTGGGCAAATTTTTGATATTGTCATAAGTTTGGATTTAAAGGGCTCTCCTAAATTGACACTAAAAAGGTAGTGATTGTGCGTACTGTAAATGATCACTGATTTTATATATTTATGTTATCTGGGATCCTCTTGGTTTGTTTGGAGATGCCTATTTGAATCAATATACTGTCTAGAGATTGGTTGCTGTTAGGCTGCCTTGCACTCTAAATAATGCTAGAGTAATTTCATCTTCATCCACATATTCAATTCATTAGATATCCCATGATTTCAGATACATGGCTTATTTGACATCGAAGATGATCAGGCATTTGGATGACTGCTTTCTTTCTGTTGCTACGGGAGGTTTTTTCATATTTGAGAATTTGAAAATCAAATCGATACTTTCTTATGCGGATAACCAGCTTTATAGCTAACTTTTGTGTGTTTATCACAACTTGGTGAAGAGTTCAAAAGACTATGTGAATTTTATTTTGAAAATGCTTTGTTTACGTAATCTAAGCCTTCTAATTTGAAATGTTTATATGTTACAGCCTACATAAGTTTCCTTTTTTGGTGACTATTAGAAGATAAAACATCTCTATCGAGTGCTAATTTACTTTCTTCATATGGCTCCGTAAATAATGACTCTGAACTATCCTTCTTCTTGCAGTTCTCTCGTCATGAACCTGGCGTTACTCATGTCTTAGTGACAGGCGGTGCTGGCTATATTGGTTCGCATGCTACACTTAGACTCCTGAAAGACTCGTATCGAGTTACAATAGTGGTATATAACTCTACCAATCACATATATGGATATATTATATTCAGATCATTGATATTCTAATGATCAATTTTCTGTAGCTATAATTAGTCCTTATGGCTGATTCCTACAGGATAACCTTTCCAGAGGAAATCTTGGAGCTATTAAGGTTCTTCAGCAGATGTTCCCAGAGCCTGGGAGACTTCAATTTATTTATGCTGACTTAGGGGATGCCAGAGCTGTATCCTGATCAATTGAATATTATTTTGGCAAACTAATTCAATGCTGTTGAATTTTGGCTCAAATGTCCTGAAGTTTTTTCTTAACATAACACAAGGTCAACCACATATTTGCTGAAAATGCATTTGATGCTGTTATGCACTTTGCTGCAGTTGCTTATGTAGGGGAAAGCACACTTGAACCTCTCAGGTCTGCTATTCGTTCAAGCATCTCACAAAGGAAAATAGGAACAGGATTTTGTTTCCTTGTATAAATTTATATATCTCTAAGGCTGGACCTTGTTAATGTTTAAACATAACCCTATATAGTTTTGCTGCAACATCTGCATATGCTTTCTTATTAATATTTCTGTACAAATCGGGAGGAGAGCTTAAGGTTGAGTGGCAGTGTGTCAGCATCTACATCTTACCTCCTTTTTTTTTGTGAATGTCTATGCAACCTTTTAAGCCTTGTTTTTGGGAGATTTAGCCCTATTAAATTTCTGCTGTATATTGCTTCTAGGTTCTGGTAACAAAAACACAACGAAATCTTTTAACTCTCTATATGTGGATCATAAATAAGACATATTAACTGCTATCTGATGGCCTTATTGTGCATTTATGATTTGAGATAGCAGTTTTCCAAGCTAAATCTGTATTATGATATTCAATCCTCTTTCCATTCATCCTGATGTGATTTTGTGTTCCTTATAGTGACACTATCAACTATGACAATCTCAAAATAATATTTGTAATGATTTGAGATGAAAAAAATTGTTTGAGGACCTCTTTCTATTATGTGTGATCAAGGTTATCGAACACCTTGGATTTCCTTGTTAAGTACCTTGTTAAGGTGTAGTAAAATACCAAACAGTTAGTATTTGTTTCTACTATGTTTTGTTAAATTATACATAATTAGATGTGATATCTGATATCTTTTGTCTAGGCTATAGATCTCTGTAATGGACTCAAATAGTTTGTAAAGTAAAAGGGAATGCCATCATATATCCTGGAATTCAATTAGCAGATGTATGAGATTAGAAAATAATAATTCATGACATGGATACTCATGACTGCACATGTTTTGGTAATCTTGCTACAAATCTCACACCCTGGGAATATGGGTTCAGAGCATGGCATTTGAAGCCCAACTATGTCTATTATGTAAGACTTTGTCATGTGTGGATTTGTAAGTCATTTATTTAGAATTGACTATGATATTTAGATGTTGAAATTTGGGTTAAATCCAATAATTTGTAGTTTGATATTCTGCTGGCTTCCAATTCATAGAATCTTTGTTCTCAGCATCCACAATGTATTTATAACTTAATTTCAATGAATCAGAATAGTTAATGCATTCTGGATTCTAGTGTTATTTTTTATTCTGAATGTTGCATTTGTTTATGTGTAACTTTTTCTGCAATAGGTACTATCACAATATCACAGCAAATACCTTGGTGATTCTTGAGGCGATGGCAGCGCATGGTGTAAAAACTCTTATTTACTCAAGTACATGTGCTACTTATGGAGAACCAGAAAAAATGCCTATCACAGAAGAAACTCCTCAGGTGATTAAGGATATCTGATTGCTTCGATGGACTTGACCTTATTGGCGTCTAGTTTTGCTGGCTAAAGGCCATTCTGTTTGCCGTTGATATAATGTCCTTGATAAAACCTTCTAATGCTTTCGTCTAAGGTACTGTATGTGTAAATGGTAACAAATGTGATTTCATGTGCAATGCAGCTACCTATCAACCCATATGGGAAGGCCAAAAAGATGGCAGAGGATATCATTTTGGATTTCTCAAAGAGATCCAACATGGCAGTCATGATCCTAAGGTCTGTTGCTGATGGTAACAACTTCGGGTATGAAATCTTCTGGAGTATGGGACTAATTTCTTTCTCTACATTGATAGATATTTCAATGTCATCGGGTCAGATCCAGAGGGAAGATTAGGTGAAGCCCCGAGACCTGAACTACGAGAACATGGGCGTATATCTGGTGCTTGCTTTGATGCAGCACTAGGTATCATACCAGGGTTGAAGGTATTTTCCTCATCTTTCCTAATGTTATTTAGATCATTTATAAAGTCTTCTATGAACAGGAACAGGATGTTGCATATTTTATAAAAATGATAAGATTCTTGGTTTTATTCATAGGTTAAAGGAACAGACTACCCAACAAGTGATGGAACTTGCATCAGAGACTATATTGATGTTACTGATCTCGTTGATGCTCATGTGAAGGCCCTTGACAAGGCAAAGCCTAGCAAAGTTGGCATATTCAATGTTGGTACTGGAAAAGGTTGCTCTCTCTCTCTCTCTCTCTTCTTTGTGTGTCTCTCTGATAAATAATGTTCTTTGTTACTTTCAGGTAGATCTGTGAAGGAATTTGTGGAGGCCTGCAAAAAGGCAACTGGGGTGAACATTAAAGTGGATTATCTCGAACGCAGACCAGGGGATTATGCCGAAGTTTATAGCGATCCTTCAAAAATCAATCATGAGCTCAACTGGACCGCGCGCTACACCGATCTTCAGGAGAGCCTCTCGATCGCATGGAGGTGGCAGAAATCACATCCAAATGGTTACGGGACACGATCGGTCATGGCTGTTTGATCATCTCTTGTAGATGTGGGTTTCCGTTGTAAGTCATTTTACGGGGTCATCATTGCTTGCTTTGATGAGAAGAGGAGTCGGGTTTGTGGGGGTATTGAAAAAGGATTGAGACATAAATTAGAAATATGATCTTACCATAGAAAAGACAGGAATGGAGATGATTTGTTATTTTTACGAGTGCTAGGAGGAACTCAATAAAGAACGGAGTTGATAGTTATATTTCCTTGTTATTCGATTTCTTTTGTATAATTCTTAAAATTGTGATTAAATGCCATGTTTATTCTTTTCTCTAGATGAATATAGAATTATTTTGACGAAATATGTGCTTAGGACTTTTATTTTGAGTTCTTCATTCTTCTCTATACAATGGTTAAGGTAAAATATCATTTACAAATACTTCTTAATATCATTCTTCTCTATTTAAAATAAATTAGAAATAACAAAAAGAGGTTATCAATAGAAATTTCCAATCTAAAATATCATTTACAAATACTTCTTAATAATATACGTAAAATGATCAATGATCAGAATAAATCCTAAATCGATTGGTTTGTATTCACGTTTAGATGGAGTAACTACGATAGTTTATGCAACGTTTGCTCATCACTAATTTATCTTCTTTTGATGCCATATCCTCGTTAGACTGCACGAGGTTACGACCGTATCAATCGCCATCTCTCTCTCTCTCTCTCTCTCTCTCTCTCTCATTCGTCATCCTCAATGAAATCTAAGCTTCCTTTCCATCTCTCAAGCTCTCCTCGCGACTATATTCCATCTCTCTCTCTCTCCCTCTCTCTCTCTCTCTGACTCTTTCACGCACACATTCAATTTGTTGTAGACTTTTAAGGCATGTCTGTCTTCCTTTCGCGATTGTCAAACCATGAGCAAAGAAACTGCGGTGGAAACTTCCGCGTGGTAGTGCCGTGGACACCAAGGAGAAGAGGATGATTTGATGGCAGCTGAGAACCACTTGCCCATTGGAGGAGATTATGATAGAGTAGTGGCTTTCGAAAAGGATGTGAGTGAGACCTGTCATGTCAAACAATAATGGACACGACATTATCTTGTTAGAATTCGACAAGTTTCGGAACAAAGACTAATAGACCCTTCCTAAAACCATTTCTTTCGATTTCCTGCCCTCGCATCGTCTTGCTTTCCTCTGAAGATTTTAGTTTAATGTGGAATTCTATAAAGTTCCAACATATATGAGAATAATCTCCCACCATTCCTCGTATCCGAGAATAAACTTGTGCGTGCTAGTGCCGTGGACACGAAGCAGAAGATAGATTTGCGGCGGACAGGAAGAAGAAGTGTTTCCGAAGTTGCTTCTTGTGGCCTGCTGATCACGACAGCTCCTTGTGGCGGGCTGGTAATCTCGCACGGCTATAGCGTGGTGAAATTGGAGTTGGGGCATACCGACCAGGAGGAGCAGAGTCATCGGCGCCGCAAATGGAGCCAAGATCAGTTAGAGACGATCCAACTGTCCAATCTGAAACACTCGTCGATATCAAATGGAAAGAAGTCGTTCCGGAAGATCTGCTTCCTTGCCTTCGACAGCTGACGATTTCTCACTGTCGTCTCGTCGGTCCTTCGACTTGCATCGTCAAAGATTCCGAAGCTAAGCGGCTGCACCAATACGAAACAAGTGATCCTTGAGGCACAAGCAGAGGTGGCGTCTGCTTTCCCTGCTCTTGTGAATTTTAAATGCTTTTATGAATTTTGGATCATCTCTTTTCTGGTATGTTGTCACTCCTTCCTCCTTAGCTGTGATGGAGTAGGGATCATTTTTCCGAGTTCCTACTAGTGAGAGAAAGTAGTTTTAGTTCCTGTGAACTACTGACAGAAAGAGCTAAACTAACCAACTGATATATAAAATAATATAGTGCACAGTCTTTAATTATGAACTATGGGTAATAGAAAATTCTTAATCCAGCCCGAATGCAGATGCACCTAAACAGCTTGGAGAAGGGAAATAATACATTACATCAAGTTGAGACGAGCATCTTCTGTCCTTACACATCATTTGCATTGCTCGTTGGATTTAGCCATGGTTGCAAGCAGTACTCAAAACTCATCTTAGATCTGGTAAGAACTGCTCTCACCATCACTGTATCATCATCATCATCTTTCAGGTCAGACTCCCTCGCTCGAGTTTCATTTCCCCTAATCAGATCTTCTATGCAAATAATTTCACTAGTACAGCTCGCAGGATAGTCATAGGGACAGCAGCTGATCTTCTTACTTTTCTGCAGATATACTGAGGGAACTGTCGTCCATCTTCCACATGAACTGCTCCGATAGACTTCTTCCGGACTTCGAGGTTAGCATCTTATGCTTTCGCTTCTGCCTTTCCATCTCGATAGCACTGTCATCCACAGGTTTTGCTAGTAAGTAACCATTTTTCTGAAACATACCACCGTAATAGGCACCTTTCAATCAGAAACCTAACATATTTTCCATCAGATTCTTGCAATCTCATGCTTTATCGATGCATATATTCATCAGGAACACATTCTATGGAACCGATCTGTTTGTAAATATTGTAGAAAGATGGAAAATCCATGTAGTTTTGGAGTATGAGCCTTTTTTTTCTAGGGCATGTACTGTAAGCGACCAGTGAAACGAGTGGAGAGAGGTGGCAAGAGAAGGGTATGAAAAGCCTAAAGATATTAATGTGATACACAAAATAGACATTATGAAAGGTTGGTAGAGGAAGAACATGAGCACACACTATTACAAATCCATCTCCAAATAAAAGATAATGCTTAGGATGTGAAAGAGGCTACAGACATTGATCGACAGTATAATAATAATATAAAAAATAAAAGAACTAAAGGATGAATATGGAAAAAGAGAGATAATAGAAGATATTTAATTAAAATCGAATTTTTACAGAGCCGGCCAAACCAAAGTTCAAACATATGGACCACATCTCTATGAACCCTACAAGTCTCTGGAAGTCATGTGGGCACACACAGAGCAATTAAGACAATTAAGACAACAACTGATGCTGTAATCAAATTCTCTATCTTTATTCTAAAAGGAAAAAAAACTTACTCTGCAATCAAATGCAAAGGTCACATTCCATCTGATCTCTCAGGATATGACCGAATCCCACTGCCGTATGCATTATTTCCCCGACAGCTAGTAAGTAGTCTTCTTCGTGGTGCTTAGCCACCCAAGAACTCGAGGAAGAAGACGACAATGGCGAAGAATAGGAGTAACAAGACGGAGCAAGTGCTTAAGATTTTGATTACTGTCATCAGAGTTCCTGGCTTTGGAGTCCTGAAAGTGAGCAGCTTCACGCTGAAACTGGATAGAAATGCGAAGAACATCACCAACACGCAGAGCTTGAGCTGCAATTCACTGCCTTTTCTGCCGATAAATCCTGAGAAGGCGCCCATAAGACCTCCGAAGCTGATGGATGTCGTGGTAGTAGCGACCTTGGAAATGAGTTTGAGCTTGAGATCATGACCAACGTTGGTAGTAGTGCGCGGTCCGTGCGGCTGTTTCTGGGTGCTGTGCCACTCTATGCAGAACCAAAGAGTGACTCCAATAAATGGCGTCGGCAGGAGAACCAGTACAAGGAAGACGTCAAGGAAAGCAGAAGCCGCCGTGGCGGCTATGAGTGCCAATGAGCCCAGCAGAGAGTAGCTGAGTGCTTTGAGGAGCTTGGTAAGGAACTCCCTGGTGCTTTGCTGCTTGAAGCTTGGTGGGACTGAGCTGAGCAGCATCAACAGAAGGCCGAACATGGCGGCGAAGAACATCTGAAAGATGCAGATCTTCGTGTTTATGGTAAGGGCTTGATCCGAATGACTTTTAGCGGTCCCAATAAGAGTAGTTATCAGCCCACTGAATGCAAGGGAGACAACAGTGGATGAGAGACCCAACGAATGTTTCAGCTCTGATTTATAGCTCGCATATCCTGTGGAATTCTGATCATGATCATCCCCTGCGTGGAATATGAAGTAGAGGAGGGTGCCGAGAAGCAAACATCCCGGAAGCAGGGCTGCCAGAAACATGGAGCGTTTATGGAGGAGAGTTGAGAAACCAGCAGCTGTAAGGATGAGGAGAGCGCATGAAAGGACGAGGAGGAAAACGGTGGTCACATGCTGGCCTCTGTGGACACTGTGATCCTTGCGACTTAGCAAATTGATGGTGAAGAACATTAGGGTTACTCCACAGAGAAGACTGCAGGTGGTGAGGAAGCCGCAGATAAGAAGGTGCAATTCGTTTGCATGGCCTTTCAGATCTCGCTGTGCTATGAAAACTGCAAACACTGCCATTAAGCTGATGATTATATCAATGAAGGCGAACTGTAGGATTTGCTTCAACTTGGATTCATAGCTACATGTTTCATGACCTCTTGCAACTTCACCTCTTTCTGCCTGAATCAAAGATAGACAAAATCAAAATCCTCAGATTCTTGAGAAAAGAAGAAATAGAAGACCTAAAGGGAGGGATAAACATGAAGAAGACAACGCAATGAATAAATACATGTTTCCATCCGATACAGAAAAACCTATTGTTGGAAGTTGTTTATAGCAAGCAAATAGAAGAAGAACTAATGCACGTGTCTTTGTCTTATCAAAATTTATTTTGAGGCTTAAACAAGTCTTGAGAAGTTGCATATCTTCCCAAGAAGCTTAATTTCTTGCATATGTAAATTTGTTTGGGGGATCCAAAAAGAAAAAGATGTGTCAGGAAATTCAAGGAAAAAAAAGCAGAAATTCTTGTTGTAGCACAATAAACAATGATTCATATTATTCTGAGAAGGAACTAACTGAGTGCTTACAGCTTCCCATGAGTTCTGAAATATGCCATCGACCGTTGACCGCAACTGGATCTCGGTCGTGGAAGGAACAGTGGTTTCGTGTTGCTGCGAGACAATCAAACATCAAATTAGTGAAGAAGAGGATCGAGGAGGAGTGGTGTTTGTGAAAGAGCGAGCAGATCTGTGAGAGAGAGAGAGAGAGAGAGAGAGAACTTCTCCGGTTTGGTTGCAGAAGAAGAAGAAGAAGGGATGAGAAGAACCTGAGGCCTTGAGCGAGACTCTGATGGTGGATTCAGAGAGAGAGAACTTCTCCGGTTTGGTTGCAGAAGAAGAAGAAGAAGAGGAAGAAGGGATGAGAAGAACCTGATGACTTGAGCGAGACTCTGATGGTGGATTCATCTTGCAGATTTCGACCGATAAGGAGAGAGGGTGGAGTGGAGAAAGCAGTGACAAGTATGATGTGGTATCAGATGATTTTATAGTTTTCGAGTATAAGGAGTGAGGGAGGGAAGTCTCTAGGTCCTTCTACCTTCTTCGTCGGGGAAAGAGAGAAAGCAAAATGGAGACGCGTCCTCCGCGTTCTCTGTTCTTCTGATTTGTAGCCACGTGAACGCTTTGGCAACAAAACTATTGACCACCCTCTCATCTCTCTCTCTCTCTCTCTCTCTCTCTCGTCCTCCGCGTTCTCTGTTCTTCTGATTTGTAGCCACGTGAACGCTTTGGCAACAAAACTATTGACTTCAGCCACCCTCTCATCTCTCTCTCTCTCTCTCTCTCTCATGTCTTTAATAAGCCGAAAAACAATATATAAAAATAATTAATTTAGATTAAATAAATAAATAATTTAATGAGCCCAATTAGTACATTAGTTCCGTCAGTCTCCTTGCTAGCGGATGCACATTAGTTCGATGTGCTTATCCACGTTGACGGGGATGACAACACAATGTCGGGGTCTTATCCTCTTATCAGCTGGTTTCCGGGTGATCAGATGCATTCAAATCGGACCGAACCGAATTGTTTTTTTCGATTCAATTTAGATAAGATAGTTTGAATCAAAATTAATTCTAATTTTATCTAATCAAATCGTTTCGAAACTTATTAATTCGGTTTGATTAATCAATTAATCGATTTATTTATTTTAAATACCTTTATATATATATACACACACGAAAGATGTTCATTCACTTAAGCTATGATCCAAATAGATCCATCCGAAACTGACCTATTCTTTAATTAGAAAATAATATACGGAAAAAAAAAAAGATGATTGACAAGGTGTCGGTGCGCGTAGTCAAGTCTACCAACTCCCATATGGCTATTGCACCCATCAAGATTCTCTTTTATGTAACATTTTTAACTAATCATTTTCTTACAAAAAATAAATAAATAATATTTGACTCAATAAAATGATCTTAATATTTTTAAAATGCTTTAGTTGTATTATTATATAATTTTTAAAATCTAAATCTCAAAAACTAATTGGCCTATCTAATATTTTAACCCTAAAATCTTATATTCTAATAGATCGTCAAAATCATTGTTATGATATCATTAAATTATCACATATCATATTTATAAAAAAAATTAAATTATTATTTTATCATTCATAATTTACAGAAGACACTTTATTTTTTTCATCCTTGAATTCAAGTCCCTATCTTCGTGGTAAAACTAAAAGCGAAGAAAATGTCTCTAAAATCTAAACCTTAGATTTATTACCAAGTAGTAGATTATTCTGAAAATAAATATAAGATAAAAATATATCAATAATCACACATGCTAGGAATATTTAAAAAATTATAAAAATAATCTTCAATATTTATGAAACATATGTAAATATCAATAATTTAATATGAAATAATAATTTATTGATTCATTAAAAATCATACATCAAAAAAATAATGATAATTCTTATGTAATAAATAAAAATATACATTAGTTATATACAACACATACATAACAAAGACGTACATTACACTCGATGGTGTACTCTCCCAATAACGAATGGAAAGACATACTCAATGGGATGAATTCACTTCAACGGTAGATAGAGAGAACCCATATCATATTCCCAATAATGGATAGAGTGATATCTCTCGTATACACAAATATGAATAATCTAACTATCATATTTGATAGCTTGCTAATCTCCGAATGGAGTCACTTTACCTATCCTCAAAAGAGATATTTACCTATCCTCAAAAGAGATACATAAATAGCCATGATCATTAATCCATTCATTTACACATGTATCCAAGAAATAGTATAATAAAATACTATGAGGAACCATATTTTATGTATAATCTGTTAAACTATATCCATTAGTTGCTCCATACTATAATAGGCATGCAACTCCTTTCATAGGTTACCCTTGTAATGTAGACCACTAACATAGTTACATATACTACATGTAACAATCATATTAATATCATAAACTTAAAAAGTTAAAAACTAATAATCATTTTCAAATAATACTTTCAAATAAAATTTTTAAATTCATCAAATCATAAAAACATAAGAAATCAATGACTTAATTCTCAATCAACCAAAACCTAATTGGAATAGCTCAATTAACTTGAACAAAATTCTATTCAATTAGGAGCTAACGAAACCAATATCAAATCCTTATAGGACTGATATTGAATTACCATAGACTGGTCAATTTAGATTTGATTGATTTCGATTAGGGCAAGTAGTTTTGAACTAGTCAAGTTGGTCTAAAATCACCCAAAATCTGTTTGAATCAATAAAATATTATGATTCAGTCAATTAACGAGCTTAAACCAATAATAAGATAGGAAATTAGACTATGTTGTATAGTGCTAAGTCAAACCAAATCAACTCATATGAGTCTTAAATGAGTCATGTGCGCTGCACATGCCTATCCCAAATAATATGTTAGGTTGAGGTACAATGGGATGTATAGAGGAACGATAATGTGCCTAACACCAATCGCATAGTTGGGTAGGCTGAACTTCGTGGACTGAGCTGAGCCTTACCACTAAATTAGGTTACGCTTAGTTCACGGGTTAGGTCATACATCGACACATGAGTTTGGGTTATATCCGATCACATCAATTGAGTCGTACTTGGCCACATAAGTTGGATTATGCTTGGTCATATGGGTTGAGTCATATATTACCATATGGGTTGGGTTATACATGATCATATGAGTTGGGTTATGCTTGGCCACATGAGTTGTCATATTTTATCATATGAGTTGGGTCCTACATAATCACATGAGTTGAGTCGTATTTGACTATATAGGTTGAGTCGTGGCTACATGGGCTAGGTCATGCCTGACCATATTAGTTGAGTCAGACATGGCTATATGGGTTGGGTCATGCTTCGTCACATATGCTATGTTATACATAACTAAATGAGCTAGGTTATCATGCTTGGCCATATAAATTTGAGTCATATGGGCTAGATCATACATGGCTACATGGGCTAGATCATGCCTAACCACATGAATTTGGTGTACATGACTACGTAAGCTAATTCATGTATAGTCAGATAAGTTGGGTCATACATGACCACAAGGGTCGGGTCGACCCAATTTAACAAATCAACATGACTTACGTCAGACCTACTCAGACTCATTTTATTAAATTATATTTTAATATTTTAAATTATTATAGAGTAATTTAAACCTATGAATTAAAAAATTTAAATTCATGATCTTAAATTTAAAACTAATTAAATTATAGAAATTCACACATAATTCTTAAAACACATATAGATCTAATTAAAAATTAAAATTATTATGTTAATTCAAAAATAAAATTTTTAACAATTAAATCAATTTTAAAATTCACTTAAGCTTAAGAGACCATTATAAGTAAAATAATCATTCAAACATCATAAATCAATTATCATTATTTATTAATCATAAAAATTAAAAAATAAAAATATTATTATATATCATAAAATTATAATAATCATAATATTAAATATTTCAAAACAAGAGAAATAAAAGAGGAGGAGCCTACAAGATGAGCTCTCCGTTAGTAATGATTTAATTTTATTTTACTTTCACACACAAAGATAAAAATATAATATTTATTTCTTATGGTTAAAACACAAAAATAAAATATAAACTTTTTACTTCCTAAAAGTTACATCACTCATTAGAAATAAATCAATTAATAATTTAATTAATTAGAAAATTTTCTAACATATCCATATAATTAAGGAAATCAATTTTAATCATTTCCTTAATCATACTACATAAATAAGGAAGTTAATAATTTAAATAAAGTAATATATTATTCATATTAATTAATTAATGTTAAGAAAAAAAATCAATGAATATAAAAAGATATATCTTTTTTAAAGATGTTTAAGAGTTTTATGTTCTTCATTAGATAATTTTTAATTTAACTGCCGTCGGAGTTGGGGCACACCGACGACGATGAAATCCAGGAGGAGCAGAGTCATCGGCGCCGCAAATGGAGTCTTGAGATGTTAGAAAACGATCCAACTGTCCAATCTGAAACACTCGTCGATATCAAATGGAAAGAAGTCATTCCGGAAGATCTGCTTCGTCGCCTTCGACAGCTGACGATTTCTCACTGTCGTCTCGTCGGTCCTTCGACTTACATCGTCCAAGATTCCGAAGCTAAGCGGCTGCACCAATATGAAACAAGTGATCCTCGAGGCACAAGCGGAGGTGGCCTCTGCTTTCACTGCTCTTGTGAATTTGAAATGCTTTTATGAATTTTGGATCATCTCTTTTCTGGTATGTTGTCACTCCTTCCTCCTTAGCTGTGATGGAGCAAAGTGACAGGAGTAGGGATCATTTTTCCGAGTTCCTACTAGTGAGAGAAAGTAATTTTAGTTCCTGTGAACTACTGGCAGAAAGAGCTAAACTAACTGATGTATAATATAGTGGACAGTCTTTAATTATGAACTATGGGTAATAGAAAATTCTTAATCCAGCCCGAATGCAGATGCACCTAAACAGCTTGGAGAAGGGAAAGAATACATTACATCAAGTTGAAACGAGCATCTTCTGTCCTTCAAAATCATTTGTATTGCTCGTTGGATTTAGCCGTGGTTGCAAGCAGTACTAAAAACTAATCTTAGATCTGGAAAGAACTGCTCGCACCATCACTGTATCATCATCATCATCTTTCAGGTCAGACTCCCTCGCTCGAGTTTCATTTCCCCTAATCAGATCTTCTATGCAAATAATTGCACTAGTACAGCTCGCAGGATAGTCACAGGGACAGCAGCTGATCATCTTGCTTTTCTGCAGATATATTGAGGGAACTGTCGTCCATCTTCCACATGAACTGCTCCGAGAGACTTCTTCCGGACTTCGAGGTTAGCATCTTGTGCTTTCGCTTCTGCCTTTCCATCACGATAGCACTGTCATACATAGGTTTTGCTAGGAAGTAACCAGTTTTCTGAAACATACCATCGTAATAGGCACCTTTCAATCAGAAACCTAACATTTTTTCCATCAGATTCTTGCAATCTCATGCTTTATCGATACATATATTCATCAGGAACACATTCTATGGAACCAATCTGTTTGTAAATATTGTAGAAAGATGGAAAATCCATGTAGTTTTGGAGTATGAGCCTTTTTTTTTCTAGGGCATGTACTGTAAGCG